TGATTGCTTTGCAAATTGGAAAGATAGGAGGAAAACGGATGGGCTGAGGATACAGAGGAAACTAACGTTGGAGAGTTTCTTAAGTGATACTTGTAGTCGGCCCATTGCTTCACAACTTTATTATTATTATTATTATCACTGTAATTATTATTATTGTTATTATTATTACTATTATTACTATTGTTTTTAGTGTTGTTATTTTTATTGCTATTGTTATTATAATAATAGTAATAGTTACTTCTATTAGTAAAGTTATTGTTATTCAAACAGTTAGTCAGTTGTGCTTCTAAATATATATCTACCCATCCTAAACATAGTATACCAATTCTGTTCATTGAATGGCATTCAGAGTCTTCAAAATGGGTCTGTTGTCGTCTAAATCATGCTTTTTTTTATGGTCGTAAAAAAAGCGTTGTTTTTTTTATGTTTTTTACTTTTTATTTGCTCTTTTATTCTTTCATCTCTTATTCATTATTGCTGAATTTAGTGACGACATTATTATCATTTGTATACATTAGTTGCTAACCAAGTAAGAAGAAGAAGTAGAAGGAAAAAAAAAAGTGGAAGAAATGAGTGCACAATAAATTAAAGTGAAAAGGGGTGGAGGTGGGGGAAAAAATGAGAAGAATGAAAATAAGAAGAGGAAAATGTTGGCAAATGTTTGTTGGAGATTAATTCTAGGAAAACAAGAAATTTTTATTTTAGTTTTTTCTTCTGTCTCAATTTCTTCTTTGCTTTTGCTTTTGCCTTTGCTTAACAGTCTTAAAACCGTAACTAACTTATCGAACTGTTTACTTTACTTTTACGTTATTGTGTCGTCGCCAATTCACTTGTATGGAAACCGTAGTTTGGCCGTCGACAATAAGTCTGCTCCGTTCTGTTCTGTTCTGTGGTTCACCACTGATCATCTGTCTTGTTAGCTGTCTGTATACAGGCAAGCATCTAGCAACAACTTTAGTTAGTCAAACAAATACTACAGTGTCGTCGGCTGCTGTGTACTACTGTACTGTGGTCAATGATCCGTTTACTTAGGTATCAGCATCGTTGTCGTTAAGTTGTTGTTGGTCATTTTAATTAGTCTATCGTGGTTCAGGGTTAATGATACATCTGAAAAATACCGATCATCAATTTGTTTCCACATTTTTGTTACTTAGCGGCATTAGAAAAAGAGAAGGACTAAAAGAAGGGAAAGAAACGAGAAATTATTATCCTAAAACTGTCGATTGCTTGTTGTTGTTGTTAGTTTTACATTAACAACATAACATTGGTTTTTTTCAATCGTTTCAAATTCTCCTTTTTTTTTTTTTGACACATTTTTATGTGGCAATATGAAAGCACAAAAAATGTTTATTGCAGTAAAAGTGATTGGTTGAAGGAGGCAAATGAGCAGTTTATTGGATACACAAGACTTAATTTTCTTTCTTTAAACAGCACCCTTACGGATTTGAAGTATATCTGTGAAATATACATATCTGTTTCTGTGTGTTTTTACTTTTCTTCTTTTGACATCTGCAATTGGGTTAGCTCAAACAAATCCAGATGATATTGCGGAAGAAAAATTCCTTCTTTTTTTGGTTTTTTTATTTATTCAAAAAGTAAGAACCTATCGGCAGTTCTATGGTAGCAATTTTGAGTTTTATAAACAAAGAATAAGATCAATATATCATTCCTTTCCTTCTTTATCTTCTCCTTCATTCCTCTAGTCTACGTATATTCTACAGATCGTATTATTCTTTCTCCCACTTTTGTTGTTGTTGTTGTTGTTGTTTTTGTTTATTGTTTTTGAGCGGCGGATCTGCTGGTCGCTTTATGTAGCTTTATTATGCAACATAGATATGTAAATTTAATAACCCTCTAATCACCTTAGTATCGTCCTTTTATCTTTGTGCTGTCCCTTTGCACACAAATAGTTACATATCTGAACAAAGGGATGGAAATAAAAAGGAGGCGAAAAAAAAAAAAGAAAAGGAAGAAGATAAACTGAGATCAAATTGTCGTCTTCATTAAACCAAACCTAAATCAGCTTTGTATCGTCCCTGTAAGATGGTGAAAACTTTCCGGAGACTTTATCTAAGCTGATTTTGTTGAATATCTATGCATTAGTGATTATTTAGAAAAAAGAAAGCTTTTGTTTTTTTTTTTTTTACATTGTACAGTTCAATAGTTAATGATGAGTTTGAAACAACTTTTTATTTTCCCTTTTACCTAATTAAACAAACCACTTTTTCCCTTTCCATTTTCATCTAAATGCGGACTTCTTATGTTGTTCTTCGTTTTTCCTTTTTTCTTCTCCTACATTTTACCTGTCGGCAGCAACATTAAGAGATACCTGGTAGGCGGAAAGCAATAATCGTAAAAAGGGAACTTTTTTTTTGTTTCTCACTCAGATTGCATACGAATATACCCGTAGATGATAGAATGGTGGTGGAAAAAAATTGGGGAGAAAAAAAAAAAAGGAGGAAAAAACTTACGGCTTAATTTCTGACGTTGAATAAAATTTTTGAATAATAGGCAAATACAATATGCATCAAACAACATTTTCCCGTAGAAATAAAATGTTCATAAAGAACTGTTTTTT